TCTTGAAACAATCAATTATTTGTTTGGCTAGTAAACAAACATGGAGTATGTAGACAATATGTAGTAATTAGTAATTGAATTCATAGAGTATTTTAATTAAGATTGAAAGGACACTTCCACCGCTATAAATTTATGGTGGTTTACTTTTTTTTGGCGAAAGAGATTTTATTAATAAAAGGGAAAGTACAATGAGAGATAGTCGCTAGTGAGAGAATAGCTAAAGAAAATGCTAAAATAAATAATGCAAAAAGTCTTCATTTATTCTTGACTAGCCTTGTGCTTCTTGAAATTTTGAAACGGTTCCAAGAGGCATGTCCAGATCGATCCAACAATTCTCGATTTGATAATCCTGTCAAAAAACACATAACTTCTATTTCACCATCTGAAAGAGTCTGTATTATAGTTATTCTGATGAATCTTGCGATCTCGCCCTTCAGTCATGTCTTCACTACGAGGAGTAGATTGTTCCGCCGTAATCACATTTAATGACAATTTAATTGAAAATCTGATTTAGCAATAGTCCTTCTGATTGAGACGTCTATTAAGACGTCTTTTTCTACCAATTTTTTAAATAGGTTGTGGAATAGATTTATGTTATTAAACTAAATTTCTCATTGGCATTATAACACAACAATAATACTAAATCGATTACTTTGTTCAATTCAAATTGTTTATTCAACACACAAAATAAACAGTCTCATATACAAATATCACTTAATCCAGACAGGATTCAATATAAAAAATTGTAAACAACTCTTTAGAGTCTATAACCCATCTTTTTTCATTTTTTTTGTGAACAGGAACATTATACATTTTTTCTCTTTGGTTTGTGTATAATGGATAGGATAGGATAGGATAGAATGTTGGACACGCCATTTGAAAATAAATATTGTGCATCACCAATTGTTCTCTTTTGTTATTTTAACCCTCTACTATATACGCTCTTGTCATTTTTCTCTTCCATTTTTTTAAGGAAAAAAATCATATTTATTACTCCCTCAATCCCTCAATTAAGTTCTTAATTTGACTTCAAAGGTTTTTAGGTAGAAATGTTACTTAGATTGACTTTCCAATTATGCCCTTCGTATATTAAAGGGGTGCTACTATAGCCGCCCGAATTCCAAACACAAATCGTCAGAAATCTAAGAGAGCATCAAGGCATGGGAACATCATCATTATCATCATCATCAATACCCCAGTGCCTCAAAATAAAAAAGCATATAATCTCACCAATTCGCCGAAAATCAAAGAGAGTAACAAAGCAAAGAATCATTGCAAAATAGAAAAGCAAACAATAATATTCACACCTCGCCGGAAATCTAAGAACATGAAATGACAATCGCCGAAATTTTGAAGACGGAGAGACAGTGCGGACGTCCGTGAGCTCACCAACGTTGTTTCCATTCATCATCCCGCAATCGCCAGAATAATTGTTCGCCGAAGGTTCTCCTTAATTAGCGCCGCTGCAGCTCCTCCATTTGAAATGTGGTCAACCAAATAAGTCCACGAGGTTGCAGAGTAGCAATGTTGTGGTTCTCTGAGCTCGAATCATGTCTGCCCCGAAGATCGAACCATCGACACAGAAGAAGGGTAGCGGGAGAGAGAGGTCGAAAAGGGAGAGGGCAAATAAAGAAGAAAGGCAGTGGGAGAGGAAAGAGGTAAGGGCTAAATCCTGAGGGTTAGGGGTATTTAGGAGGGCAAATGGGTAGTTTTACAATAAAAACTTACCAAAAATAAAGATAAAATAAAGTAGGAACTTAATTGTGGGACATCTCGAAAAGAAAAGTGAGAACTTAATTGAGGAACGGGGGTATATCAAAGCATCATTAGCCAGAACGTTGGCTGTACAAGTAGGTACATAGTTTAATAACTCTTTACAACCCGGCTCCGAAACAGCCTACTGTGTTGACACATGAACGGCCCGATTCACGGATCGTTTGCAATAACGAACTTGTAATCTTGTTCTTTATCACAAAGCATAAATCTAATATCATCTAATATAGTGCCAAAGTACGTGAACTCCGGGGTCTGTTACAATTGTGATCACCATTAGAGTTGTGTCTGTTTCCTCTTCCACCTAGCTTTTCCCAACCTTCCACTCGAGCACACCTAATAGCCTCCTTTAAGTTGACAGTTTCTGCTACATTCTAACCCCAAATAGCGTATACATTCTTCTTTCTTGCAGCTATGAACTGTCTGTGGTCTCCTCTCAGCTCTCGCAACCCAACTCCATGCTCGAAATCATTTTGGTTGGTCAACCGCCGCATCCACATTTATTTTTAACCAACCAACTTCCAGCCTTTTCCACCTATCATTCCTCATGATATGTCTTTGCTGCCCCCTTACTTGCAACCGTAGCTTTCAACACCCGCCACCCTTCCAATAGTGTACAACCCACCACGGCCACAGGCCACCTCCTTGCTGAACAACTTCTCCCTTTTCCAGACTAGATTGTTTCTGCCTTTCCATATACTCCACATGGCCATCACGGTAATTACAATAACAAAAATATTACTAAAATAAAACTAATTTACATAAATATAACTAAAAGTTACTATAGTATAATGTCATGATCACTTAAGGGTAGAAATTGAATATAAGTTATCATGACTAAAGTTACTACTATAATCACAATAGAAAAAATTCCATTTTTGGTCCCATGACTATTATGTCACTTCCACATTTTGTACCTGTTGAGGTTTTGTCCCGTAGATCCGGAAGCCCAACATTAACTTCGGATATTAGGGACGATGGATTCGGTATAAAAGTGAATAATAAATATAAAAGGTGTATGACTAGCTATTTTTACGTGGAAACCCGGAAAGGGAGAAAACCACGGGACTTTTTAGGCTAACGTCCAAGCCCGCTCTTTCTCATTAATATCCTCCCATCACTCAATACATAGTACATATGTTGAACTCCATTGATGGAGGTTTGTGAGCTGTCTACAAAGAGGAAGAAGAAGCAGTAAAGGAGAGGGGGAGAAATTAGCTCCTGGGAGCCAAAAGCCATCCTTAGAATGGAAGCCTTGCTTCCTATTTATAGGGAGGGGGGGGGGGGGGGGGAAACCCTCTAGTCTAATGGGCTGCAAATGGGCCGAGATAGGCCTAGGTGGGCCGAAACGGGCCAGGCTGGCCTAAATGAGCCTCGCTGACTGGGCCCCGTACCGGGACGGTGTCTTGGGCTTCTGAACAGTAGTGGGCCGGGATAATATATCCCAACACAAGTCCCCCAGTTTGTTGAGTAGTGAGCCTGTGAATCTGCTCGAGAAAGTATATTCTCGTTCACATCCTTCCCTATCTTCCCTGAATCAGTGTATGACTTGCCTTGTAGTGCAAGTATAAGGGATGTGCAGTTCCGCACTAGGCACGACGGTGCTGAAGAGCCACCCACTCGTGCTGCATAATATGGCGGTCGTCCTTTCAGATTAGGAATCGACGAACTCGGCCGAGAAGTAGGCACGATGGCACAGAGGAGCCACTCGTGCTGCATAACATGACGGTCGCTATCCCAGATTAGGGACTGACGAGCCCAGTCAAGAAATAGGCACAACGGCATTGAGAAACCGTTTGTGCTGCATAAGGCGGCGGTCACCATCCCAGATTAAGGATAGACGAGCCCATCCGAGAGCCAGGCACGACGGTGCTGTGGAGACCGTGCGTGCTGCATAAGAGCGACGGTCGCCATCCCAGAGCAAGGATGGACGAGCTCGCCAGAAAGCCATGCACGACGGTGCTGTGGAGCCCGTACGTGCTGCATAAGAGCGACGGTCGCCATCCCAGAGCAAGGATGGACGAGCCCGCCAGAAAGCCATGCATGACGGTGCTGTGGAGCCAGTACGTGCTGCATAAGAACGACGGTCGCCATCCCAGAGCAAGGATGGACGAGCCCGCCAGAAAGCCAGGCACGACGGTGCCGTGGAGCCTGTTCATGCTGCATAAAATAAGCGGTCGTCATCCTAGATTAAGGATGGACGAACCCGACTCGGATATACCTGGACTCAACTCGACTCAGACAGACATGGACTTGACTCGACTCAGACAGACATGGACTTGACTCGACTCAGACATACATGGACTTGACTCGACTCAGACAGACCTGGACTTGACTCGAGACCACTGCGGGTCATCATGAATTCACATCACCTCCAAGCCAATTTATATCCCCCGTTCGCTCGCCTTCGCCGAACGGGTCGTTCTCCCCTGGCCGAAATGAGACTCAATCAAACCAATAGTTCCATTCGCCCGTTCGTCTCACTAGAACGGTTTGATGTACAACGATGATCACGTCGTGCCGAGGTGGCTGATCGTAGAGCTACAGAAGCGGTCAGATCATCTGGATAATAGGTCATCCTCCATGGAGTGTGAAGATGCTGTGCCGAGGGCCGATCATGATACGAGGACAGCGGCGGCGACTGCGGCAGTGGTCCATAAAATATAGTCATGCTGTAAAGATGCCTCAAAATGATCACCGCGCCGAGCCAGGAGGGTCGGCCGTGGTGAGAGGAACGCCGGCGCGGAGAGGCCGGTATGGAAATCCAAGGGTCTTGTGAGCGCCCTCTACTCAATGGACAGCGGCGGCAACAACGGCAGCAGTCCATAAAATATAATCATGAATCCAAGGGTCTTGCGAGCGCCCTCTGCTCAATGGACAACCGCGGCAACAGCGGCAGCAGTCCATAGAATATAATATGAATCCAAGGGTCTTGCGGGCGCCCTCTGCTCAATGGACAACCGCGGCAACAGCGGCAGCAGTCCATAGAATATAATCATGAATCCAAGGGTCTTGCGAGCGCCCTCTGCTCAATGGACAACCGCGGCAACAACGGCAGCAGTCCATAGAATATAATATGAATCCAAGGGTCTTGCGAGCGCCCTATGCTCAATGGACTTTATTATTATTATTATTATTATTATTATTATTATTATTATTATTATTATTATTATTATTATTATTATTATTATTATTATTATTATTATTATTAGTTTTTTTTTTCACTTGCCACAAGTAAGCACCAAGATTCAGATGCAAGCCGTTCGGTTCATCTCCGTCGGCTGTACGTGGTTCCTCGAACACGCAAGTCATCAGTGTTTAATGCCTGCTGCCTTCCAAGCCTGAGTCCGATATAACCTGTTCGGGTTATCGTCTTTGGCCGTCCATGATTTCCCCTTTTGCAAGGCATTTTAACAGTTCGTTTAATGCCTGCCATCTTCCAAACCCATAATTCCGATGCATGCCGTCCGGTTCTACCGTCCGGGATCATCCATATTAGGGGGTTGAGATGTCCATTCTGGACCATTGAGAATAAGGCTCTCATTCGGGTCACCTCCTTATCCTCTGCCAAAATGGAGACTCGCCTCCAGGTTACAGCTCGGGTTCCACCATAACGAATCACTTCGTCGTGGTTCGTGCGAGCTGCATAGCCAAGGCGAGATTTTAAGACCAGAGTCCCGATCCCCCGCTCGGTCACCCTATGCTTTCGGATGCCCGCCCAGTTCGTCCAACTCAAGATCTTTTACACTATCTCCCAAGCTGAGTTCGTGCTTGGTTAACCTGCACATTAATGATGAGTTTGTGCTGAGATGATGGCTCCCTATGGATCGAGACAAGTGGTATCTATCGATCGAGGTGAGACTTCATGGAGTGTGAAGATGCCTCCAAAGCAAATAATGTCGTGCCGACAGGCCGATCGAGATATGATGATGTCGGCAATGAGAAGCCAACCTGAACATCAAGCAACGGTCCTTATCCGCGCAGTGCGGGGACGAGGCCGGTCTTCAAATATGATAATGGCATCGCACCAAAGGGTCGGTGGCCATGTAATGAGGTCGCCACTGGGGGCTGATCGGAAAGGAACAAGCAACGGTTCTCGGCCGTGATGGTCTTCTCTTCTTTTCTCTTTCTCTCTTTTTTTTTTGTCAATCATAAATATCTCTGCGCTCTATGATCTCCCCGTTCGGGCTGTCCGAACGGCTCATGAATGTCTCTACGCCTCGTGACTTCCCCGTTCGGGCTGACCGAACGCCTATGAATGCAAATATCCCTTTTCGTTTCCAATCATGAACGTCTTTGCGCTTCATGCTGAACGTCATAAACATCTCTGTGCTTCATGACTTCCCCGTTCGGGCTGACCGAACGCCTATGAATGCAAATATCCCTTTTCGTTGCCAATCATGAACGTCTTTGCGCTTGATGCTGAACGTCATAAACATCTCTGTTCTTCATGACTTCCCCGTTCGGGCTGACCGAACGCCTATGAATGAATGTGATTCTTTTCTGCCGGTCATGAATGTCTCTGTGCTTCATGCCAAACGTCATGAACATCCTTGTGTTTCATGATCTTCCCGTCCGAGAACGTCGGACGAATTTTACTGCACAATAAGCATGGTAATACGGCCGTACGGCCGAACAACATATACAAGTATATACATACACATGTATAACATTTCTTTTGTATTATTTTTTATTCATGACTACCGGCCGAAGCGGTAATGATAACCCTTGGCCTAGATTCATTTCTTGATCTATTAGAGTCCACGACTCGAACCACCTAGTGTTTTGTCGGGTATTCAAGTACGTATTTCGCCCCGTACTGGGTATAGTTGCCGTTCAGGCACTTAATGCCGTACGAGACCATGAATGGTTTCAAAATTAAAATATGTCATCGGGGACACTTCAGCCAATTAATTTCGCCCGATCGGGGGTGGACTGATACACCCAGTCAAACCAAGCATTTAATTAAAATGTTGGTGATATTATTCATAAAGCCCCGTTCGGCATTACTTTATTCGGCATTTTTTTAATCCCTACTAAGTAATGGTGTGTGCGATTAATAGTAAGAATACTATTTAATCAACTAATGAATACTCTAATGCATGAGTACTTGGTGCGTGTCGGAGTAATACCATTTGGGGCACTCCGATCGCTTACATTCAGCCGATCGCGGGTTGGCTGGTCGGCCCATTAAACCAAATCATTTAATTTTTAATGATAATGGACTTGTCACTGGAGTAATGAATGAAATATTTTCAATCAGGAAATTATTCAATTTCCTGATGCTCGGCCATTATTCAATTCAGGAAATTTTAATCTCTACTAAACAAATAATGGCGATGCGTAACTAATAGTAATATTACTACATCAAGTCATTCAATATTTTCATGGATGTCCGGCCTCACCGAGCGGGTCCGTAAATGCTCCGATCGCTAATTAAGGCCGATCGGGGTAAGCCACTACAACCCATCATTTTATTTAAAAAATGAGGGAGTACTTAGGATGTTTTTACTTGGACTGTAATTTGCCCCAGACCAGACCAGACCAGACCAGTCCAGACCAGACCAGACCAGTTCAGACCAGACCAGACCAGACCAGACTTGGATAGTTATAAAAATACAAAGAAACCAGACCTTACCAGACCAGACCAGACCAGTTCAGACCAGACCAGACCAGATCAGACCAGACCAGACCAGACCAGCAAATTACAGTCCAAGTAAAAACATCCTTAATCATTGGGGCTTCACTTGGTCATTATTTAATTCGGGATATTTTAACCCTAACAATGGTGATGTTTAATTAATAGTGCTACTACTATTTAAACAAACATTGTATCGTACTAGTAGTGGGTGCCGAGCAGGATTTGGGAGTGATCCCCTTGGGTGATGCTCCGACTATTTAATTTAAGTCGATCACGAAATTCATTGTTCGTAAGAGATGCCGACCGGGGAACTGCGAGCTGGAGTACACATCGCTCGGGAAATTCCCTTTCGAGTTGCTCTGTCTGGAGACCGAGCGGCGCTTGACAGGTCACAGCTTCCATGGGCGGGCAGAGAGGGCCCTGCGGGTTTGTTGCTGATGGACTGGCTATGTTTTGGGGTTGTACTCTTTCATTCGTTACCCTCCGTTCGGGAGTTTAAAGTTCATGGTTTGTTTTGATCAACTTGTACTTTCGGATAAGTTTAGAGGCCGTTCAGGTCATTTGTAATGATTTTTTTTTAATCTATCCACACAATATCCCGTTCGGCGCATGTTTTCTGGGATGATGGTGAATCTATCAAATCATTCACTTGTGTGGTTTTGTCAGGCTTCCCACGTGAGAGTGGATAGCTATTCCTTTTTTTTTGTTTTTTGTCAGGCTAGTGGGTGTATGGGCCCTATTTGCCTTTTCTTCGTTCACCAAACAGCTTCCATGGCTGGTTCACTGAGTTCCTTGGGTTCCAGCATTCCTTCTAGGACGCGGAGCAATGATTTGAATTGGTGACCGGGCTGAATCTTGAGTTCCCAATTTATTATCGCTTTTTCTAGAATCATTTCCCCATCCTTTTCTTTTTGCTCCCCGTTGTTGTAAACGGTTGTCTTCTTCGTATCAAAATTGTAGGATCAGAACACATAATCTTTTTTATCTTTTCCCACAGACGGCGCCAATGTTGAGGGAGGTTTTGTCCCGTAGATCCGGAAGCCCAACATTAACTTCGGATATTAGGGACGATGGATTCGGTATAAAAGTGAATAATAAATATAAAAGGTGTATGACTAGCTATTTTTACGTGGAAAACCGGAAAGGGAGAAAACCACGAGACTTTTTAGACTAACGTCCAAGCCCGCTCTTTCTCATTAATATCCTCCCACCACTCAATACATAGTACATATGTTGAACTCCATTGATGGAGGTTTGTGAGCTATCTACAAAGAGGAAGAAGAAGCAGTAAAGGAGAGGGGGAGGGAAAAAACCCTCTAGTCTAATGGGCTGCAAATGGGCCGAGATAGGCCTAGGTGGGCCGAAACGGGCCAGGCTGGCCTAAATGAGCCTCGCTGACTGGGCCCCGTACCGGGACGGTGTCTTGGGCTTCTGAACAGTAGTGGGCCGGGATAATATATCCCAACAGTACCTAACTTCCAACTTCGCCACATCTTATCCCATCGTTTTCTCCCGTTACCATTCCTCATCCTTCCGGCGAGAACTCTGATGCAAGTTTTCTCGCACTTAAAAAGATTGTAGAATAGTGGTGAAAAGTACGAGTATCGTCTTCACAGGGACGGACAAAAAGGAAATAAGAATTAACTAAATTCGGCGATTAAAAAAGAAATAAATAAAATAAATGTGTCGTGTGAGATTGATTGGTTGAATTGAAATTAAACTAATGCGAATGAACGAATAAATAAATAGATTGGTTTCACTCTAATTAATGACGAAGGGAATAGGGATTGATTCCGGGGTAACCAGATTTCTGGCAGATCAGGCCTAATTACATGAAATTAATTTAATTGAGTCTATCTAATCATTACTAAGTTCTTACCGCTCTCGCGGCGTAGAGTACAATAATTTAGGGGACCAGGCTGATCCTATCTCTCATGCGACAATATCATAAATTATTGCCAAGACGAGCAAGCTTACGGCCCCTTAATTGCTACTAATCTCTTAGCGAACGATTAAGTGTGTGAAGGTGTCTTAGAATAAATTAGATCTCTCTTTAACTTATTCTACAAGCAATTGTAATTCTAGTGGCCATCTAGGTTACAAGAGATAACAATTAAATTATTCATACACAAATTAAACGGCATTCATGCAATTAAACCAACAAGAATCTAGCCATACATCATGATCAACCCCTTCATCAACCCCAAATCCCTAATTAAACTACTCACAATTCATAATTGAAGAATCAATAGAATTACGAAGAATAGAATTAATTGTCATTAATTAAAAAGATAGAACTTACAAAGAATCCCTTAATCTTGAAGAACAAGGCTTGAAAAGCTCTCAAAAGTCGAAATAGGGTTTATCTCTCTAAGCTCATAAGTCCAAAAAAAGGGGGAAAAGGGACCTATTTATAGAAAACTTGAAATCTGGTCGAAAACCCGACCGCACGCCGTGCGGGTTCAGGCGTGCGATTCGTCACCGACTTTTACTCCACCAGAGCGGTGTGCGGGCGACCGCACTATGCAACCGTGCGGGTACTCCCGGGGGCTATTTCTGGACCGCGCGGTGTGCAGTTTCGGCCGCGCGGTGTGTGGTTCAGGCCCCATAACGTTTTGCTCTCAGAATCACCCGCAGGGCGTGCGGAACCGACTCGCGGGGCGCGCGGACTGCTCTAGAACCGAATTCTTGCTATTTTCTTCCCGGATCGTTCCCGATCGATCCTATCTTCAATCTTCAACCTTCCAAACCTCAAATCATGCCTTTAAATCATCCCGTGGCCCTCCGATGCCTCTCGCTAGCTCTCGATCATATCCCAAATCTTCTCAACTTTAGCTCAAATGCCGTTGCCTGCCCGATTTCTGCTTTTCTTCAACGAATACAAACCAAACCCGGTAAACCGTGACTTGAGCTAAATAAACACTTTGTGGCTCAAATAAATTAGGAAAAGTGACAAAACTCAATCTCAACACGCATCAAATGCGTGTTGAAATGCGAACTTATCAAACTCGATGGGTTTAAAAGTTTTACTATTAAAACGACAAAGTTTAAGGTTATTTTAGTAATTAT